AAACAAACCTCAAGACCAGAAAAGCTCCCCACTGCTCAGGGACTGTGCAGATCAGCTCTGTGATCATGCGCATGTTTATCTGTGGGAGACATCCTGTGTTGTTCCAGTACTGTCTAACCATTTCACACTTGTAATCTTAACTTCCCACCTGATGAAGACAATTGGGGAGGATCGTCCTCAACCACCTCGAAACTCTAGTAAGCATGCTGCTGCCAGACCCCTGCAATTCACTTTACGTCCTGGAATTGAGGTGGATGATGCAAGCATCTACCTCCATACATTACTGTCATGCCTAAGAATACTGGAAGCACTGTGAGGGTCATGTTTTTTGACATCTCTAGCACTTTCAATACAATTCAACAGGCACTGCTAAGGTGAAAGCTGAAAAGGAGCAGGAGTCGACCATAACCTTACTTTATAACAGATTAACAGTCTGAAAACGAGGGCCAGCTCTTGCCTGGCCAGTCCCCTTGACCGCATAGAAGAGGTGGGTGAGAAAAGGATCTAATGGCCATTATGAACAACATCTCTGACCCCCTAAATAAGATTATAGAGGTCCTGAGCAGCTCCTTCAGCAGTAGAGTGTTTCAGCCAATAGGACGGAGCTCTATTGTAGGTCTTTCATCCTAACAACAGTCAGACTGTAACTACACAGGATAAATACCGTTTAAAAACAAATGTGTATTATTACCACTCTCACTGCACTTTAAGTACATATAAAAATCTTGATGTATTTTACTGTATATAGTAACCATCTATAAATAGTATTTTTCTATACTATCTATATTTTTCTCTTATTTTTTCCATATTTTTATTTTTCTACCATATCTCTAATTTTCTTTTTATTACTTGTGCTGCTGTAACAAGTTATTTCCCAAGAGTTTGGGATTTAATAAAGTTTATGCCTATTTTTACTGTTATTCAGTTGCATTCCTGAACAGAAAAAAATTGGTTTTTTGGTTTGTTGTTATGCTTGATTAATTTCTGACTTCTCAGTGTCCTGGCTTAAGTTTGGGTATTAAAAATATGAATTCATTTAAGTTAATTCTGTACTTTTTAGTTTTAAACAAGCTTTTCACAGATTTCTAAATTGTGTGCGTTTTCTTGCTTTTATGACATGTGGGTCTAATAAATTTGTTAAGCACTGTATCCCTTTCTTGCAGGGTACAGCAATCTCAACTAAGAAATATATGTAATCTGACATCCACGTACCAAATACACATCAGACAATGTAATGAAGCTGTGTATGAATGTAAGGCTACTCTCTTTTTACAGCTTTTGGGCAAATACTGTGGTTGTTGTACTCTTTTTGAGCAGAGATGTTAAAGCACAACACTGGAAATTGATACAGGGGGACATGCTGGCAAATATCACTAGGATTAAAACTTAAGACTTACATCAGATGAGGCACAGGCAAACTTCTCAGAGATCATAAAAGGCACCCCGTCCATTGCTAAAAGAGAAAGGTAAAAAAAAAAAAACGTTACATAATTTCATCTCGTAAGAGATCAAGTAGTAACCCCTACAAACCATAAACTGAATAACAGCAACGACTCGAGACTGTTAAACAAATGACAGTGTCCACATATACAGAGATGTGGACACGGTCACCTTCAACACGCAGTCTATTATGAAGACAGAGCTTAAAAGCACACAAAAGTGAAGCTGTTGACGTGTCATCCCTACCCTC